TAATGCCTTCTTATTACCATGGACCATGGTCTGGATAGACGCTTGATCGCTTGGTGCGCTTGACCAAAACAAAGAAAAGTCAACTAACGTTCGAACCGGCTGTTTTATTTATCACTGTCGCGTACAAGAGGTCAAAAGTGATACTAACAACATCATTCGTCTGTCAAGGGCGAATGAACAACAAACAATGAAATCTGTCTTATCGAAAAGCGGTTATTCCATTGGCTGTTATGCAGTTCCGTTAAGTCCGAAGCCCGCTCTCCTATCAAAACGTTCTTCGTAAAATGCCTCATCTGGAGAAGTAATCACACAGATTGCTCCTTCAACAGATGCGAAAATGGTTGTCATAGGCAAGTTCTGTTTGCCAACGGCAAGGTGCACATTCAGTAAAACGACAAACTTTTAAGCAGTTCGACTTGAATTGTGAAATACATTCGTTTCATTTGAGGACAAAATGGTGGACCTTGTGAGGTTTCGCCCATCTGGCTATTAAAAATGCACTATTAGTCAGTTCAACCCCCGGAAATAAACAGGACCCCTGCTCGGATGACGAAACTTGCGGTATAAACCCGAATGATATTAGATTCAGAACAAATGTTATGCTGATTCTCATTTTGGCGAATTTCCTTAATGGCGTTTTTGTTACACGCCCTAAAGTTCACACATTACTAGAATATTCTTTCCGATTCGCACTTTCCTAATGATGAGGAAGTCACATTGTTTGATGTAAATCCTGAATGCGCGCTTACAAATACGACAATGTCAAAACAATTTTTTAATTGGCGCTGAGGTTTTGTAAAATCCACCTGCGTTGATTGCATGAGCCACATGAGCCCCACTAAGTAAACCAATAAAATAATTCCTGAACCGTCCTGAGGCTTGCCACAAATCCCCGATTCGGTTAACCTTACTAAATCATAGAAATTACTCACAAAGTTGCTGAAAATTCTTCGGCATCCCACGACCGGTTTCGCCCTCCTTGTTTTATACATGGATTGATACCGCTGTCAAGCCCATAGGACTGATAACTAACATTGAGAAGGCATGTTTCAATTACTGATTGCTTCTAAGTAACTAGTGCTTCCAGATAGAATCTCGTGAACTACCATTATATTAATATAGCGTGAACCCATTGCAAACGCCCGAGCTGTGAGGACATTTGGATCGCGGGTTTTGCAGAAGAGCAAGTAATTCAATGCATATTACTACCATTATCACTACTAGTGAGAGGAAGAAGGCCTTTGCTGCAGGGTTATTTATTAGGAAATGCCAACTGACGGGTTACAGACCACTGAACAGGGAAGCAAAACTCTGGACACCCGTCTTCTCTCGAATGCGTCTTCTTGAACCTTCCTGAAGATTCATTGACTTTAACCATTCCCCTCCCCTTTTCAAAAGACGCAGTGCAAAATCCCACGAACAACACTTACTAATTGCGTGCCTCCTCATTGGTAGTGTCACCGTTATACACCTCCAAACCTTAAAGCTCGTGCGCATGCCATCGATGATCATTTACCTCCGTTAGGCCGGCTTCGGCAGCGGTCTACTCGACCGCACATTGGGTGCCTCATGCCACTTGCGAAGTTGGGTCTCGTTCACCATTTTCGATCCACGACAATCCTTAAAGTTATAGACGTTCCCCCGATGGTCCGTGCCAACAAACGGCCCTTGCTGTAGATCGCCTAGCTCACACGACCATAGTTCATTCCTTAGAGTATTCTGCTGGACCTTCTACTTGATGTTCGTGCCTATGGGTAACGTTCGGACCTTTCTACTTGCCTGGTCCTTTCCTGAGCGGCAGCCAAACTTTTTTCGGGCTCTTCTTCTTTCTTCCTCCAGCTCCTCCGCAGAGAAGCGTGTTGCCGGCCACAACCCAATTTCCTGATCGACCGGAGGGCGCGGTTGTCAAACGTACATCAGCATAAACGGGGGCTTGCCCGTGGTTGGCTGTATGGAATCACTATAAGCCAGCAACACCACCGTCAAGTTCACTTCCCAGTTACCTCGTTTGGCCGCCAAATACTCCTTAATCGTTCGATTAATTAATTAGGCCATTTGTTTGAGGGTGCCGTCCTTACCCATCTGGTACCCAGCTTCTGCAAACTATTCCTAAACTCTCCGCTTTCGAAGCTGTGTCCCAATCGGTTAGGATCATGGCACCCAAGGTTGTCCACGATGTGCTGCATTACCACTCCGCTTTCGTTAGTTGGCAACGCTTACAGAAACCACATAATCCATCGCCTCACTTCTCATCCCGGGTCATTAGGCCCTCTGTCGAAGTAAGTCGTACGTCTTGGTGCACCCTGTATGTGCCATCTCGAAGCATTCGCCGATAAGACTCCGTTCCATGACGCGGGGTATCACAAAAGCAACCCACTAAGTGGCGTTCCAGGAAGTTATGCCGGCTTCATTTAGCCTCAGCCGATCAAAGTGACTCTGGACCGTCTCGAGTTCTTTGTCTCCCTCTCCGACATCAATGTTCCTTCCATTTCACAAAGCGGCTGCAACATTTTGCAACAAAAGATCCTGTCGTTGGAGTTGCACCAACTTTGCAGCATCCAGTTTGACGATGAGATCATTGACCCCCATCATGATCTTGGGGACCACATCTTCAGCATCTGCTCTTGACAGCCCATCAGCCGAGTGGTTCTCCCTGCCTGGCACGCGCTGGATTGTGAAGTCGTACTTTTGCAACCGGAGCGCAAGGTGTGCGAGCTCCCCGAGAGGATATCTGAGCCTGATCCACTCCAGGGGTTGTGATAAGTTCCGATATGTAAACTTTGCCCAAGAATATAGGGCCTCCACTTATCCAGGGCCCAGAAGATTGCTAAACATTCCTTTTCAATGGTGGAGTACTTCTGTTCAGCGTTAGTCAAGATACGACTGGCATATTTGATAACCCCTTTCCTCTGCTTCCGGACTGCTCTGATCCCGCAATCACTGGCCTCCGTTGCAACAGTAAACATCTCTCCAACTCTGGGCAGTTTGAGGGTCACTTGTTGATCCTACATTTGCGCTATGACACACTTAAAAGCCTCATTTGCTTCTCCGGTCCAGTCGAATTTCCGGTTTTGCCCGAGCACGTCGTACATAGGCGCAGTGATCGCGTTGAAGTCCTTAAACCTCCGGCTGTAGTATGTTGCTCGTCCATGAAAATACCTTAAAGACTGCTTTGAATTGAGAACAGCACAATACTTGGTCTCTGCCAATTTTTCGGCAGTGGACTAACTTTACCGTGACAAAATTTATGACGAAGTGGTAACATCGAACGTCGCGCGAGCCGCGTCCTATCCTAATTTATCCGCAGACCAGCCTCTCCTATCCGCTTCAATACAGCCCTCAAATGAACTGCGTGTTTTGGTTCCAGATTGCTGTACATAGCGATGTCGTCTCCGTACACGGCAACATTCTGGAGTCCCTACGTTACACGGAGCACCTGGCGCCGAAATGTGAATGATGTCCCAGACAAACCAAACGACATTCGTCAAAATTGATATTGGGCGGCCCAAAACGTAAAAGCCGTTTTCTCTCGGTCCTCCGCCTTGCTAGGTAGTTGCCAGTATTCGGAGAGCAAGTCAAACACAGCGAAATATCGGGAATGCTGGGAGGAATCGCAAATCTCCGCATTCGAATATACAGCTACAATCCGGTTTACGGTCAATTCATCCATGTGCCGGAATTCCACGCAGCACCTGTATTTTCCGTTCGCTTTCCATACAAGCACAACCGGGGAGTTGTACGCGCTACTGGCTTCTTCCATTATGCCTTTCTTTAACACCTCTTCAATCTGTTTATGGACATCCCCCAGCAGATGCAGCGCCAAGGGGCGGAGGAGCGTAAGGTATAAAGCGTTCTGACGACAGGGTAATTTTGTGTTCAATCCACGGGCAGAAGCAAAACGGCTCCTCATCGTCCGTGAACAGTTCGGGATATACCCTTACCATGGAACGTACTGACGGTACGCTACAAGATGGAAGCTTTCGGACACGCAACTCACTCACGGCAGCGCTTAGATTACGGCCAAGATTTATTGCACCATACCTTGTCAGCAGTTTTACTTCAATTAAGGCAATCACGGAATCTGTGGCCTTGAGAAATTCTACTCCCAACATTGTGCGTTCTATAGCTGGGCCGATCAGGAAGGCATGGTGTACGAACTTGTCGCGTAGGCGTATCGACTGCGTTGACAATCCATGAATATTTATTCGACATCTACCCATTGCTCTCACGGCTAGCGCACACGGGCTGATTTTAGCTTGGTTCGTTCTCCGCTTCAACGATACGCCCGCACCTGAGTCAATCAAACATAACTCCTTCTTCCCGTATATTTCGATAATGGCCTGTATGGTGGAACTGTGTCGGGCGCTAACGGAAACCCACCCAGGAAAAGAAGAGCGCTCAAAATTTTTTTAGCTGCAGGTGATCGACTACGGGGACACTGATTGTTCCAGTGGCCAGACGTGCCACAAAAGTAAGCACCGGCTTGTTCCAGCGTGCCCCGCGATTCCGTCTTCAGGGCTCCAAGATGTTGCGCGAGTTTTTCTACTCTGGTAGGGCACCATGCGCCGGCTGAAGATCTTTGACGAACTGGTCGGAAAGCGACTAGTTGCACGAAACAACGTACGGGCCCGGCAGAGCGCGATCCAACGACTGCTGACTGTCGGTGAAGAAAACGGCCATGTCACATCCAGGTATTATCCTGGCGGGGTTGAACCGCCTCATAGCCTCCAGAAAGTTGGCCAACGTGTCGATTTCCAATGCAATGTCTTCTTTCGCGGCGGCCCAATCCAACTTCCAAGAACAAAGTCTAGAGGCATTCGGGCCGCTTTCGTACAGCCACAGAGGAAGATCTCCAGCGTTGCCAACTTACTCCGGTCGGTCTCCAATACGGCGGCATCCGCGATCTCCTCAAGGTCTCCGTGAAGGTCCGAATGTCCCCACATTCAAAGGGTTGTGGCCACGGAATCTTGATCCTTATCCTGGTCACCGCACCAATTAAAATGAAGAAGGCCTTCCCTGCGAAGTAATTTATTACATAATGCAAACCGACCAGTTACAGACTGTTGTACAGGAAAGGAAACCTCTCATATGCATCTTAAGTAGAAAAACTAAACATGCATCTTCCCTTAAACGCGCCTTGTAGAACTGCACTGGATGTTCACTGAGAGTTGCTCAAGTCCAAGCAAATGGTACAAAGCGGGTCCACGTATTCCGCAAAGATCTCCATTGTCAAGCGAATTGACAGGTAGAGAACATATTACTATCATGCCCGCCCCAATTGAGTATCACCGTTACATCAGCAATCCATGAGTATATCAGAGGAAGAATGGTTTCATAAGTTGACTGAAACTTTCTTTTGATAAGTCCTCACTCGAGGAGCCTGTCAACAATATGCGACTATGTCAGTTGGTTTTCGTGATTGAAGGATGAGAGCTTATCGCATTACTGATCAGCAATTCTTGGTCCAACATTCAGCTGGTTGTTCCGTAGGCGAATTAACGAACGACACCCAAACTGATCTAGTGGAGGTTTTCCTCTAATAAAAAGCAACAGACTATTTAAAACACAACCGTGAAATTTTTCGCATCCGTACTAAGGAGGTGGGCACAAAAATTTTTCTTTAAAGGCTTCATAAGAAGCTCGGCATACATAACAACCCCTGATTCGATACACCATACTGTTGAGTATGAACTAGGTCTTGGGAATTATCACAGAACTGTGGTTAAAGTACCCACTGGATATCTGACACTCCGAGTTACGTATTGACCGGCCCCCAGAAATTCTAGCTAGCTGTTCGTGCATTGTTGAGTCTTTGGGAATCCGCACGCGCCGTAAGTTGGAATTCCTATTTTAGCCCCAGCACATTTGGTTATTTACTTTTTGGTCACCTGGCCTGCCCTGGTGTGCTCAATCATTTGTTGACACCAATCGGACAGAATTAAACATTATTTCCGTGTTAACTCGATGGATTTAAATCGAACATATTTCGCACTTTTAACCCAGTTCCACAAATGAACAAATAACCAAATGTTCATGATCAATATAAGATCCTTTCTGCCGAAACTCATAGCTTGTTCGTTCGTTCGCTTTGGTACACCTAGTCAAGGACCCAAGGAAATAAAGAATGCTAAGTGCGCTCAGCCTGACACTTAGTTTACAGGCATTCCGCTGTCATTAGCATAGCAAGCATTATCACCGCGGAAGGTCAATACCTACTGAAATCTTTGGAATCGATTTATTCTGGCTTGAATGAGAGATCAGCAATAACTTGTAAAATCACCCGAGTTAGCACCGTCGCGACATACTTCACTGCTTGTGCCGGTCAAACAAAATGCATTTCACAGGTGCTTGTATCGACATGTGTGCTCTGTCCGATCGCTTTAAAATGCTTCAATTTGCTCAGCGGAATTCACATATCTTCACCTGCCTGACACTCACAGCACTACAGTTGAACACAATCTGCCGAAATTCAAAGTGACAAAAAAGCAGTTTTTACATCGGGAATATAATAATAATCATGGCAATACTTAAGCTGCAGCACCGTTTTAGTATGCAGCCGCCATATTGCCCGAGGGTAGCACTAGCGTTGGCCAATCGCTGGGTGGCCTTAGCCTGGACAGGACTAGTCGAGAAGCCGAGGCCGGATTCGTAGTACGGTCGGTAATTTTGAGCCTTAACCACCGGTTCACTCTGAGCTCCTAAGCCAAAATGAACTTCCACGAAGCATAACCATTTTTCAGGATTAAAAACACTGGACTGGGTCTCCTTTAAGTATTTAGCTGAAGCAATTCAATTTATGTTCACCGCTAGCCAGCCTGTGTGATCATCCAGTTCCGTAGCAGTCAGACTGGGCCATCACAAATTTGCCACCACTGTTTGTAAGTAGTTTATTTCTCACGGCAATACGATAACCAAATGGAACCGTTCTTATTTTGCTACCTCTGTATTGAAAAGTAGAAGATGAATTCGATTTTTTAAAGTCCCTCCGATGTGAGAACTATTTTGACCGTCACAACATCCAAAAATCATCAGCATACGTTCAGAGGATTGGCCATAGGAAAGATGTTTCTATCAACAAATTGTATGAATAAAAAACAGCCAATTCCAAAGGTTTAGCAGTTCAAACCATACGTTAGATTACACCTTCCGCCACTTTTTTAAAAATAATCACGCTAATTGTAAACTACTTACACTGCTGGAGTAGCCAAAAAGGTGGATCAATTTGGGTATTCTGTTACGTAGGTCATCTAGTTTTCAAAAATTTCCGCAACTGCATCGGTGACTGAGGCGAGTTAAGTTATCGCAAAGCCTTGCATGTGCTAATGTTTTCCATGTGGCATTGGTTAGTTATCGGCGCTCCGGTTATCGCTTTTGGGGCAGTTATTTTTTGAAACCATCACGTTGCAACAAAGCAACACAAGCTTACTTGGGAAACCACACTGTTTTTCGTACATCAGACTCCGCTTAAATTAACGTGAGCTTCGTACCAATTGACGTCATCCTTTGTCACCTGCCCCATACATTATACAGTGGTTCGGCAGGGAAACGGTAGACAAAGTTCGGCGACTTGATATAATTCGGTGGTGACGTGAATTGCGAACATTTGTGACTATGGACAAGGTTTATTTGGTGAGATGTCATATTCCAAACAAAGTCCATATATATGGTACCAGTGAACAACACCGCGTAAAAGTCATTTTTCAAAACAAGACCCAATCAATTGATGATGTAATCATTTGTCTACTTCTCAGAAGGCACTGCGTTCCACGCTGAGATGGTATGAAACAGCATGAACGTGAACACATTCCAATACTGGCGAGATATTATACGTTTCAGAAGCTGTTGGTACACAATCGGTGGATTTTATTTGGGCTACTTTTCGCTATTGACATGGAAGCTTCATCCGGCCAAGTGAGTTGGTCGTCAAATTGGCTACGTTATAAGATAGGCGGGGCACCCATCAGTGAGCATCATCCATATCGTCACATCAGGTCAGCGTTGAGTGTGAAGAATGGCTCTTGTCGTTTACTGTGGTTTTCTAAATCTTACTTTGGCTAATTAGAGGAGCTTCAAATAAATTCCAATCGGGTTGAGTTCGTTAATCCCCTACATTGGTGTGACAGCATTTTATGCCAAAAAGCTCGGAAGTTCCGCGAGGTCATTTCGCCCTTACGTTATTCATCAGCTGTGTGCATCTCACGAAAATCCAGGTAGCTTCGTAACGGACCCGTGACGGTCCAATAGGTGCGTTCAGCAGTTGAAAGTTGGGACCCGACCGGCGCATCAGGAGTGTGATTGGCTCTCACCACATATACAATTTGTCAGACTATTTTGATTCGACCACCAAGTCAACCGACAAAGGTCGGTATTCCGAAAAGATCAATCACGGCTGCAATTTTCCTAGGCATATCTGGGAGTAAGAATATTTTGACAACCAGTCTCACCTGCACACGGTTTTGATTGGAGCTCCAAGAAGGGCGAAACCTGTCGTGGGCTGTCCAAGCGTTTTCAGCAACTTCACCATTAACGTATAATGCCTAAGCAACAGTGTATTGCGTAAATCGATTATCGGAGCAACTGAAATACTGAGCAGGGTTGTACATCACATTCAGTTGAAGCCTACCATTACAAACAGGCAATTAAACTGGACATATCTGAGTCTCCATTTCAAAACAGAATTCATGTCCAAGTGAGCGAAGCTCTCAAAATCTGCCCAAGTTCGGTTTTAATAGAATATTGGTTAAGATGGAAAATGGGGACCGATAGAGAAGAATGACGAGACCGGTGGTGAGCAGTTAAAGGATTTTGAGAAAAATTGTATGTAGTGTGACTTCCAGAAGGAATGTCAGCACGCACTCTCCCAGAGTCCAGATATTTCCCGGTGATACATCAAAAGTAATTTCGTTAGCTGGAGGATTGACATGAACTTGTTTGAGGCAATAAAAACCTGGATCCTTGAATTCAGAGTGATTCAACCTTCTACGTGTTAGTATCCAGCGAAACGTATACGGAATCTCTGAACTAGCCAGTTCGTAAACTATATACCAGTGAATGTAAGGAAGCCTTGCGCCGCGAAGGCATTTATCAGAAAACATTAATTTGAATTTTGCGGACAACCAGACAGGAGCTTGTTTTTATGGAAACTATTATCCGTCTTCTTTCTGAACGCGGCTTCTCTAACTTCTCTGGATATTCACAGACTATCATACAATTGAAATCAAGTGATACCCGCCGTAACCCAATTTTCCAATCAACCAGACGACGCGGATGCCGACCATGGATCACCATGGCCGTTTGGTTGGTTTTATGGAAGCACGATGTGCCGGTAACATCTTTGAAACCAATCGCCTCCTTTGACCGCCTGCCACCTCCTAATCGGGGAGTGCGCCTACCTGATTATCCCCAGGAACAGCGGAACCGGCCGTGGGCTGTCGACGAATTTCCAGCAACCTTATGAACAGCGCATCACAAATATACACGTATCACAATATATCTCGAATATCGTAGCCACCGAAAAATGGGGCAGCCTGGTGAAGCATATTTAGTTGCTTGGAAACATCAGAAACAAGAGATTTAGCTGGTTTTACGGTATCCCGCTAAAAACCAAATTAGTTTGCAAATGAGTGTATATCCGTCAACCCTCGAGCTCTTTGCTTTCAATGCAAGGCCTGAGCGGTTGGGAACATTTTCGGCATCCCATGTTTGGCCAGGATGTGACGCGTACCCAATCCGCTGATGATGACTGTTCGTTGATTTGACACGGATTTCCACCGGTCGCCACGGAAGCGCAGACGACGATTTCAACATTTCAGATATACGCGAGTTCTGAGACAGCAGTCGGTTCCACGGGATGGGTTGACCCCGTCTTATCACCTTGCATTAGTTGGCACCACTTGCAGGACACCACCTAATCCCTCCTAACCCCGTCTTATCACCTTGCATTAGTTGGCACCACTTGCAGGACACCACATAATCCATCTTACCACTCATCTTGGGTAACTGGGCCCTCCGCCGAAGTGACTT